TTATTGTACTTTAGATGAAGGTTTAGAGAAGAAACTAACTTCTCATTAAACTGTCAGTATACATATTGTTTCGTGACATTAGTTACCAGCCCCGTGACATGTCAACACTCTCCCTTCTCGACCTTGGGTTCCCTATTACCAGCTTTCCTGTCCCCTCCTGCCTTCTAGTCCTTGCCCCTGAGCTTGTGTGCCCCTTGAAACTCATGTTGTTTTATGGGCCTGTCTAATCTCTGACTGAAGGGTAAACCTCATAAGGGACTTCATTACCGAGTTAAAAGGGTGTCCGGGGGCCATTCCATTTCTGTACTTTTTGTTTATAGGAAATGTAAAGGGTCGGGAAAAGTTGTTTGTCACTATTTTGTTTAAATAACGGTGGGGCATATTCTTGGGTTATCCTTGGATGATGACAGATTTAAGAGAGCCTTGTATGTCCCTAGATCTCTTCTTTTATCCACTACCAACATTGAAAAGGAGCCCTGGTGGCACAGTGGTTAAAGGACTCGGCTGCTAACCAAAAGGTCGACAGTTCGAACCCACCAATGTCTAGGCAGGAGTAATAAGTGGCAGTCGACTTCCGTAAAGATTTACAGCCTTGGAAACCCTATGGGGCAGTTCTACTCTGACCTGTAGGGTGGCTATGAGTCCGTATTGACTCAACTGCAATAATGGGTTAACGATGAAAAGTACCCCCCAACACTCTGCCTGGCTCCAGGGTTGACGTATTTGAGGTCCTGTGGGGTTGAGTATAAGGGAATTTAAGTTTTCAAGGTACCCTACCCTTCATCATCTACATGTAACGTTGGGTAAAGTGTTAATCAACATTTGTTAATGATGAGTTTAAAGCACAAAACAACAAAGAATAAAAATAAAGTGATTTTTCCCCCAGCAAGGGTTGACGCAGAATGTTTCGGACTTCTTCAGTAGATAACCATCTGTTTATCTATCTGCTTTTGGGTGATGATAGCTGCTCAATCCCCAGGCATTCTGATAAACCATGGTTGTATTACGTGTGGCTTTCAACAACACCTGGTATGTAACCTTACTCCTTATTTCACTCAGACTGGAGTAAAATTGGGGTGCATTTCTGAGACCGCAGTGTTTCTTGGGGGATGGTAAATCTTTGGCCCCAAATTAAAACTTATGTTAATGAGGCAAATGCATGATTGTATATGCATATGAACACTGTTTGCAAGTTTGCGATAGCTGGATTTTTGTCATTAATGGAATATGTTCATTGATGTTTTTTAGCAAACGATTATGGATGAAGCAGATGAGTTTGCAACAGGGCCTGCAGACGATGTGAAACGCCCTGGAGAATGCGACAGTCCTCCGTCATCTAAGAAAAGGCGGAGCGAGGCCGTGCTGTCAGTGGAGCCGGAAGGAGAGACAGGATGTCATCTTGAGGGCTCAGCCATGCCAAAGGAAGATGGTAGTTAAGTCTCTGAGGGATGGAGCGATAAGAGCATGTTTGCGAGTGGAAGGGAAAGGCTCTAACGAGGGGCAAGCATTTGGGGTTGCTGCAAGAGTTACAAGGACAGAACAGGTTCCTGAGGCAGTAGGAGGGTGGGCTCAGCCGGAGGATGGGTCTGCCCGCGCTCTCTGCCTGGCCTCACCACCTGTCCATGCTCTAACCCAGTGCAGTCTGGCATCTGCTGCCTCAACTCTGCTGAAACTGTCCTTGTCAAGGTCACCAGCCTCTGTTGCATGCTACCAGTAACTTCTCAGCAGAATTTGACATTGCTGTTTACTCGTTCCTCCCCGGAACCCTTCTTAGGTTCCCAGAAACCACACTCTCTTAGGTTTCTTCCCTGCTTATCGGCAACTCCTTTTCATTCTGCTTTCTGCTTTCCCTGTTTTTTCTCACCGCCAAGTAGTGCAGGGCCCCAGGCTGGCTCCGGGCCCCTCTTCCCTTCACTACGCTCTTCCCTAGGTGATGATCCCATGTCGTCTGGAGCTTGAAATACAGTTCATATTTCCACTATCCCAGCTATGTTTCTCTAGATTGTAATTTGCTCCTGAACTCCAGACTCAAATTTGACTGCATTCATGGTTACCTCTGTCCTTGTTGTGTGCCGTCCAGTCAATTGCGAAGCATAGCGATCCTACGTGTCAGAGTGGGGTTTCCTAGGCTGAAATCTTTACGGGAGTGGATCGTCAGGTCTTTTCTTGTGTAGGGGGGCAGGTGGGTTGGAGCCACCGACCTTTCGGCTAGCAGCTGAGCGCTAAATCATTGCTCCACCAGGGCTCCTATGGGCTCTCTGGTTGGGGTCGAATGGCCATCTAACGCCACAAGTTTCATGCGATGAAGCCGCAGTCCTGGACTCCACCTCCCCAAACCTTCTCTACTTACAGCCTTTGCCAGCTCAGCCGAAGGACACCACCCGTCGGTGCGCCGGTAAAACTGCAACAACCTGCTGGTTAAACGTTTGAGGCGGTAGGGAGGATAGAGAGGCCCTGGTTTGTAGCGTTTGCAGTTTTTCCGCGGTACCAATTGATCCTGACATGTTCCGTGTCAAGGTAGCCATGTGAGATCACCGAACAGAGAATCAGAAAGAGTTTGCCCAGAAGCTGGTCTGGTGAGCTGCTGCCAGCTCCTGCCCACACCGGCACGATTATTTACCCAGTGGTTCAGGCCAAACCCTGAGAGTCACCTGTGATTTTTCTTTTATTCTTCTCTCCCTTCCCATCCGTTAGCAAGTCCAGGCCACTTGAGGTTCCATATAAACCCTGCAGCCCACCATTCCTCTCCGTCCTTCTATTGCATCTTACATTAATCTCCCACCAAGCGGCCGCGAGAGCATCTTAGCTGATCTGCCTATTTCCCCTGCTTGATCCCGGCTAACTCGTTTTCTGCCCCGCGGTCAGGCTGATCCTGTCTGACATGTGACGCTCTCCTACCGGTCTCCCCCTCGCTCTGTCTGCTCTCTGTCCTTTCCTCAGTTGTACCAGGCTGGCTCCCTCCTCACGGCCTCTGCACGTGCCCTTTCCACAGCCTGGAGCACTTAGCCCTGGGTCTGCACATGGCCGGCTCTCTCTCCTCCTCCAGGGCTCTGCTCAAAGGACGCCTCCTCAGAAAGGCCCTGCCTATCCACCCTGTCCACGGAGGCCCCTCCCCTACGCTCCCTCGTGTCCATGCTCACCGCTCTCCTTACACGAATTCACGCTGTCGGCTTTCTGTTTGCTCGTTGTGCACCGTACTGTCTGATTCCCCACAGCAACGTCAGAGCCCCGAGGGTGGGCATTGTTTCTATCTGTGTCTCTTGTTCACTGCTGATCTGTGGCACTGTGCCCGGCACAGAGGAGGCTGAATAAATGAGGTAGAAGTGTCAGACGTGGAGTAAAAAAGAAACCCACTTTTTTGAGACAGAAGTGAAGGATGAGGAGCATGATGTATAGACAGGGCTCTTTGGTGATGGAGTGGACACGGAGCATTGAGACCGAATGGCCACTTCTGTTTTCTCAGAAAGTTTAAGGTAGAGGTGAGGCCTTGTGGGGGCCCATGTTGTGTGGTTTTTCAGCTCAGTAAAGTATGGCAGTTTATATGAGAATTTGAGAAGTCATGACATCAAGTGAGACTTGTAGCTTTGCAACTTGTAAAGGGCCACAACACAGTGCTCAATCATGAGCACAAGGGGTTTGCGAATGTTTGTTTTTTATTTGTACCGTCTTCCTTGGTTGCCTTGCGTATTCACAGTGCCAAGAGGGGAAGAAGATGGTTTTGTTGTATTATTTTTCCTGAGCCTCATTTGAGGCGTCTGAGATTTCCATCTGTCACATCCTCTTGCTTCTTGAAATAAATAATTTTCTCGAAACCGAGGAGCACAGAGATGTACCTATGGGGGTGATGAAATGCACCTCCCTCGCAGCTCCACCTCTTCATTTGGCCTCCAGATGCTACTGTCGTTCATGATCGCCACGAGGAGGGGGTGGAAAATGGTCAAACAGCACCTGATGGCTTCTTGTCAAAATCTGTCCCTCCAGAGCTCATGAGTATGGCAGGAGATGGTATTCCACCCAACAAAGTGGATTCTCCGTCTGATGACTTGGCTCGTCTTGGGGAAGGTGGAGTGATTCGTGAACCTGGTAGTAGTGCGCTTGGAGGAGGAACCGGGAGCAGCAGCCTCTCCGCAGGTGGCCAAAAAGTCACAGCAATGTCTGCACTGGGAACCGTGACCAATACCTTGCAAATAAGTTCACAGAGAAACAACGATGATATCAAACATGAATTAATGAAGGAAGTTCGTAAGTTTGGACGAAGTAAGTAGTGAAAGAACATGTATTAATAAAACACTGGGGAGTCTGTCTCGTTCTGTGATTTACAATAGATACAAGCTACCTCTTGAGGCACATCCTTTGGTAGAATTGGGCTTTCACATAATTTAGAATGATCCCTCTTTACTTTGACTAAAAGGTCCCAATACATCTTTTTTCTCTTATTCATTTCTTGCTTGGTTACTGTTCACCAGAGTTTCCTTAGGAGATATGTGCAGGGTCCTGATCTAAGCGTTTAAGACACACACTGTATTTACATGGGAATCCACGAAGAATGATTCCCGAGGTAGTGGCTGCACTGAGATTGGGTTCTATTTCGTCTTCATATCGTGTGAAATGTTGAAGGTTTTCTTTGTAATGTCCCCAGAGTATGAAAGAATCTTCATTTTGCTTGAAGAGGTACAAGGACCTCTGGAAGTCAAGAAACAATTTGTGGAATTTACCATCAAGGAAGCAGCAAGGTGGGTGTAAAGAGGAACTCTTCAATATTTTTAAGGTAGAGGGGGCAGAACTGAGGAGGGCCCTGCCTTGTTTTGCTCAAACCCTCACCCTCACTCATAGTTCATGCTGTCTCCACAGGCATTTAGGTGGATATGATCTGAGTCTAAATCATTCTTCCAAGGCCACGGAGCCTTCTAGGCTCACCATAGTCTTAGGTGGGCTTGGGCCCTCAAGAGACACGCTTGGTATTTACTCGGCGTTGTCTTTCCACGAGGATACGTTTTCTACTCCCAGGTCGATTGCGCGCTCCTCTTTTGTATCCCCGCGATGCCTCCCACATCATAGGTGCTTTAGGTATCTTTGGTTAATGAAGTGTCTCTCTGTTTTCAGATTTAAAAGGCGAGACTTAATTCAGCACCTGGAGAAGCTACTAGAAAAAATAGATTCCGACTCCCTGGTGAACAAGGATGAAAACATCAAAAACATATAATCTTGTTATCACAACAAATCAGCTAGCAACCCGAGCAAGTTTGCCGTGCTCTAGAGTGGAATCAGATATTGTTGAAGCTTCCTAGAATGTAGCAGTCAAGGGAATTTCCTTCCAGAGGTTAAGAACAAGCGTTGGAGCTATAAAATTTAGTGATTCTCTCTGTCAGTAAAGGCTGGGCTTTTGCCCCATAGATTTCCTTTGAAAAGTACAGTTTGTTGTTGGTTTGTTTTCCCGCCCGAGGCGGGGATGTTGGCGTTACTGCCTTCTTTCCCCACCCATTTCTTATCCCTTTTGCCCTCAGCCAGCATCTCAGCTGGTCACAGTTTTTTGTCTGGTGGGACGACTCGCTCCTGTATTCATGAAGGGTCTTGGCCATTAAATGTCTTGCCGCAATTGGTTTGCTGTCATTTTCAACCGCCCTTAATTACAAAACGTGGGAGTAGTGGGAAGGGCCGTAGACAGCGCAGACAAGGTCCTCCTTAGCCCCTTTTGAGGTCAGAACCCAACTTCCCTTTGATAGTCAAGTTTAATCACCCCAGCCATTGCAGAGACCCCCTCCTCTGCCTGTTGACTGAGGGGGATGAGGAGACCAAAACGGCCAGCTGGCAGACTCACTGTCCGTGTCATGGAGTGAATCATTGTTGTGTTTCATGGAGAAAGCATTTCTCCCTTTGGAATGAAGCGTTCGGCTGCTAACTGAAAGGTCAGCAGTTCAAATCCCCCAGCCGCTCTTTGGAAACCCTATGGAGCAGTTCTACTCTGTCCTGTAGGGTCCCTGTGGGTCGCAATGGACTCGATGGCACTGAGTTTGATTTTTTTTTTCTTCAGTCTAGCAGAGCCTTAAGTCACGGGGATGGGAAACAAAATTTTTGCTACTGGATCACGAGAAGTAGTAGTGAGAGGGGACTCTCTCATTTTCACCCCTTGATTCTGGCCTCATGAATCCTGGTTATGGGATATGAGAGCACTAAAAAAAAAGGAAGAAGAAGAACACATTGTTGTTGAGTCTATTTCGACTCACAGCCACCGTATAGGGCAAAGTTAGAAGTGCCCCACAGGGTTTCCAAGGCTGTAATCTTTACTGAAGCACAGTGCCACATCTTTCTCCCTTGGAGCCATTGGGTGGGTTCAAACCGCCGACTTTTAGGTTAGCAGCCGAGGGCTTAACCACCGCACCACCAGCCCAGTTCTACTCTGTCCTGTAGGGTTGCTATGGGTTGCACATCTAACCCTTTTCTTTCTCCTGAGGGTATGTGGGGTAGAAATTATTATCCCCTTTGCTGGTGTGAAGTTTCAGGCCAAGACCAATGAGGTGATGACCAGCCTTCCCACCCTGCCACGCACTGCTGCATTCCTCTTTCTCATCTCTCTCTTTTTTTGTTCTTGTTGAAAGTATCCACAGCAAAACATATACCAGTTCAACGATCTCTACATGTACAATTCAGTGACACTGATTACGTTCTTCAAGTAGTGCAACCTTTCACACCCTCCTTTTCCAAATTGTTCCTCCCACTTTAGTAAGAATTCACTGCCCCCTCGGTTTCCTATCTGACCTTTCGAATTGCTGTTGTCAGTTTGATCCCATATAGATAGTTCTTCAAAAGAGTGCGATGTTCAAGGCAAACATTCTTTATTAAATAAGTAAACTTATTGTTTGGTTTAAGGAAGACTTCAGGGAATCGTTTTGGTTTAAGGTTTAGCTACATATCTCTCTTACACCTTTGAAGGTTCTCCTGGTGTGTGGACTTTTCACCAGAACCTGTGTCCCTGTAGTTGCTACACAAGGCTAACCCAACAATTGTCACTCATCATCTCCATCCCCTTTATGTCTCAGATTTTCTGAGTGCCAAATACATGTCATTAAGAGCTGACACAGTGCCTGATATGAGAGGCTGGCCTTTCGCTCAAAGCAGAATCTGGGCTAATGTGAGCTGGTTTCCTGAGTAACCACCTTTGAGAAGAGACTTTGTTGTTATCAGTGCAGGTTTTCAGAAGGAAAGACTTGCTTTCTTCCTTGACTAGCTCCATTCTGCACAAACGTCAATGTCTGCCTGGCAGTGCTTAGCCTTCTGGGGTGGTCTCTTGAACCCTGCAAAGGGTCACATTGTACTGTGACATGAAAGGGGTTCTTATCATATAGTACTTTGCTTGGAAAAGCAAAATCCTGGCGCTTTTTAGCTTTTAGACCTGCATTTACTTAGGAATCTAGTTTCTTTTGGGCAGTGCTCTCACTTTACTCTATAGTTCTTGAGAGCCCGGGCTGTGGAGTGAAGGACACCCGGGTTTAAATCCAGACTCCACTACCAACAAGTTCTCTGACTCTGGCCAGTGACCTTAGCGTTCACGGTTCAGTCTCCTCAGTTATCAAGTGGAAATAATAGCCCCTACTTCATATGGTGCTGAGGGGATTGAATATAATGGTAAAGGCAAGAAAAAAACCAGTTGCTGTGGAATCGACTCTGAGTCATGGTGACCCCATGTGTGTCAGAGTAGAACTGTGCTTCATAGAGTTTTCAAGTGCTTATTTTTCATAAGCAGATTGCCAGTCCTTTCTTCTGAGGTGCCACTTGGTGGACTCGAACTGACAACATTTTGGTTAGCAGCTGAGTACCGTTTGCACCACCCAGGGCCTCCTGAAAGTAAGAAGGAGATGACGAAACCATTATCTGCATACTCAATGCCTGCATATATTTAGGGCTTAGTCAATATTCTCCCTGGGGTTGCTTCTTCAAGTTGGAAACAGTCGTCATGGCCAAGTACTGAGTAGACGCTACCAGCTATGGGGCTCAGAGAAGCTCGAGGTGTGTCATGCACTGATTTTTACTTCTCTATTTTTAAGAACCCAGAGAGAAGACCTGGCCTATGGACCAGGGACAGGCTGAGTGAGAGTAGTTGGACCCAACAAGTAAAGCTTCCTGGGAGAAGTCAGGGCTGAGTGGCTGAGGCAGAGGCAGATGAGAGCTGGGCTCTCCCTGCCCTGGGTGATCCTGTCAGGAAGGAGGAGTGAGTAGAGAATGTTCTGGATCCAGGGTCATGTGACAAGTATGGGCCAATGGGAGACTGTGGGTCAGGGGGCTCTCACATTCTACCCGGGAGACAAAGACGATCAACAAGCAGAGCCGTTGTCAGATAATGATCAGTGCTCTGTAAACAGTTGAAATAAGGTGATGTGATGGCAAGTGAAAGAATGGTGCTTGTAATGTGGTAGTCAGGGAAGGCCTCTCTGAGGAGGAGACATCTAACCTGAGAACAGAGTAAAGGGTGCAGCTCAGTGCCATGAGCATATATTTCTGTTCTGAAGGCTCCAGCTTCTGCACAATACTTTCATCTCCAAGAGCAGAGCACCCAGAATGGACATGGGTGTTGGGCCATCGTCAAGAGTGTGCCAGCCTCCTATGCCTTCTCTTCCTGCATGCCTGCCCTGCTCCAACACCAGATGTCAGATGGGGAGACAGCAATCTCACAGAGGCAGCTTAGTGAGCTTCATTATTGTGCAGGGGAGTTCCCTGTAACATCTCTATGCACCCGAGCACGTGTGCTTGTGCGCATGCACACACAAACACACGCACACGCACACACACTGGTTACATTTAAAGACTCTAGTGACCTGTTTTCCAGTGGTGCAAGGACACTGATATCCATGGCAAGAAGTTGAAAAAGAGTTTCTCAAAATGTCACACTTAGATGCCTCTAGTCAATTACCTCTAGAAAGCAAGTATCTACATGCCCAAGAGTGTGCTCCTTTTGAACATTTTAGTTGAAATAAGGAGTATAATGGCATTGGTTCTTTGCTTCTAAACATGTTGGAGAGCTAGGGGAAAGACAATGATGTGTTCATGGTCTTAAATTCCCAGCTGAAGGCCCACGTGAACGACCTGAAACTTCTGACTGCTCTGAACAAAGCCGGTATCTCCTGCAGTCGCAGGGCCAAGATTTGGGAAAACGCCAAATCCAAAGTCAAATCCTGGCAGTGGCTGAATTACAACACAAACTGAATTCCCAAACTCACAGGGCCTCTTCAGGTAATATTAGGGCACTGATCAGGAAGGAATGGGAGCCTGAAAATTGTAATGGGGTCAAATGGGTAGAGTACCATGAAGCTGGCTACCTTGTACCCCTTCCACTCGTGCCTGAGGAGGCTGTTTATCGTTTGCCTGAAGAATCTGTAATGAATGGTTTTTCCTGAGGTACTTGCCTCGCATGGCACTGCTGATCCTCCCCTCAGAAGCTATGCCCGCCACATCCCCTTCCTTCAAAACCTATAACTAGACTCACGTTTCCTCAGGCCCCAAAAAGTGAGGTAAGTGAGGTACAAAATGTGACCCATGAGGACGGGCAGTATTCACGAAAAGAAGAACTGCGTCATTTTCATTTTTGCAATCTATCTGAGCAGAAACCTGGGAAATTTGTGTGGAAATGTTTTTGAAGGGTGGGTTAAAAAGGTTGAAGGAAAACAAATTTGAATGTGGAGAAATGTACTGATATGGGCTCATCGGACCAAGCATCTGGATCAGTGTTTTTGATTGAGGGCTAGGGATGGCTCTTATAGTTTGCTTGGTTGGTTGACTGAAATAAAGACCCAAAGCTGGCCTACTCTAAATTACAGAGAAGTGCAAGAACTTCCTTGGTGTACCGCAGAGAAAGGTATCCAAAGGGTTATGGAGAATGGCATGTCAGAGTGAATTTATCTATCAGACCTGCTCTGCCCCCTAGGGAGGATCCAGAGGACGCCACTTTCACCAATACTGTGACAAATTCATTCATAACAGGAACCCAAGCATCTGTGAGGAGCTCTGGGGTGACTCTTCACTATTGGTCACAAGTGATGGTGGGCTTGCCCTTGAGGAAGCAGTTTGTTTTCATCTGGAAAGGCCAGAAATACACCTTCACATTCTGCTTCGGGCATAGGACTGAGGTCCCCATGGCCTTGCTTTCTCTCTGCTGGTGACCACTCTGAGCTCCTAGACCAGCCCTCATACCTTCTTATGTGGGCCCCGCTA